GGGGGGGCTGCCGCTCGCGGCGGGGCGGGGGAACAGCAGCTAGGTTTCCAGCGCGCCCGGAAACACGCCTCGCAGCTACCTCAACCGCCACTAACGGAAAGTCTGTCATTGCACGTAGTCCTTCCTGCCACAGTGGTGGCCGAGGCCCAGAGGAGGCGAGCAGGGCCGGGCGAGGGGATGCTCGCTCGGGCGTAGTAGCCGAGGCTGGCTGGGAGCCCGGCGCGCAGGGGCGCGGGCCGAGGTGCAGGGCCGGCGCGCCGCCCGGACGGGATCAGGCAGTGGGTGAAGCAGGCAGTGGGTGAAGCAGGCAGCGGGTGAAGCTGGCAGCGGGTGAAGCAGGCAGCGGTGGCTTGGAGTCAGAGCGTGTGTGTTAAGGCTTCATCATCTAGCAGAGGATGCTTAATGCGAAAATGATTGGAAGCAAATGTTTATTTTTCCCTTAGGCATTTAAAATCTTTCAGTGCGTTTGAAGTTTACTACTATTTTTCCCACAATGACCATTCATTCAGTCTCCTGTTAGAGTTAGGTTTATGTGGACATTTTAAGGTAGTTTTTATGCCGTAACGCCATCATCTTTTTTTCTTCTTTTTCTACTCTCTTTTTAGTTCCCCTTTTTTGCTTCTTTATGTTAAAATGAAATATAAAGGCAGCAGCTGTAGGAGGCCAGTAGAGAAAGTTTAAGGCACTCACTGACAGGTTCCTTGTTTCCTAGTAAAAAAGATTTGCAACACGTGAATTAGGTGTCTTTTAGAAATGAGGCGTGTCATCCAAACATAGCTCTCACCTGGGATGGAGGATTGGCATCGACTCCAGAAACATTTTTTGAAATAACATGGATGAAGTGGCTGGTTTGGTAAATAGGTGAGCCTGGAATTTGACCACATAGTAGTCAGGAAATTGGTGGAGTCTACAATCTGTGTGACTCTGGTGTCTGGAAAATTTTACAGCCCCAGATTGATGTGAACTTGTAGCATGAGGTGGAATATTCCAGCCAACTTTCCATCTTACAGTGTACACAAGGAGGACGTTGTGTAGCATCATTATTACATCAAAAGGTATAATGTGTGTAAGATTCACGTTGCCTTAGATGTGGTTATTGCAGTAAATGCTAGACTTAGAGAAACGCTACTGATACTTTTCACGTTCATGCCCTCTGAGTTGGTATATAATGAATCCTGTTACCTAATGAGCCTGAAAAATTATTTTGACCTGTCAGGATCCACTAAAACATTTAGCAATATGATTTGTGCTCAATTTGGCAGCAAAATATATACTGTATGGAAGTTGGTTTTTTGTTTTTATACACAAGAGTTTGCTCAGAACATTCATAGCTTTGATTTTACAATACGATGCTATTTAGCGGACATTAATTTTTCGTAATTTATGTATTGTATGTTCAGAAAGGGTGAGAGACAACTTTGGTTGGTGTTCGTGCTTTGTATCTCCTAAGTGTTGCCCTTGAACATGAATGAGGACTTCTTGTAATGCAACGTTCTCTTTTCAATATGTTGGGGTCTGACAGGTTTTTCTGGCCTTACAGAATCTTAAATTTTTGACAAATCATTTTTGAAGAGGTTCAAGTTCGAATAATTCTCTACTCACCAGGCTTTATTGGCCAATCATTGTCTTCAGTGGTAGATACAAAATAAATTATGTGCTTGTCAATGCCACGTGCTGCTGTGAAGTTTTGCGTTACTGATTTCTAGAGCCTGAAACTGTAATGCTTGAGCAATCGGGTAGGGGTGCTAGACCCACAGTAGCACAAAGACAGAAGCATCTGCACAACTACAGCTGCTGTAGTAGTGGGGGACAGGCCATCTTTGGCAATTGCTACTTATGATTTTAAATAAGCTTTAGAATAGCTGGATTTCACACGTTAAATTAATAAAGAAAAGTTACTTTGAGCTGTAAGTCTAACAAGACCATTAATAATAAAGGAAGTTATAAGAAAACCATTTCTAAAGCAGTGTAACTAACTAATTCTTTGCCAGCCTGGGAATCCCCAAATCTTACTTTAATAACAGGTTTTGTAGCACATTAAGCCTCTTGCCAAGAACAAGTGCACTGTGATTAATGAGGTACTTCAGGGATGGATTTACTTGGTCGACCCATGTTTCCTTGCCAAGAAGCAGGAAAAGTATGTTTAAAGTTATGTTTCAGGTGACGAAACATTTCTGTTAAATATGCAAAAACCATGGTTATAATGGTATTTTAATGGTATACAATGTGGTTTCAAGTGTTTATGTCCCAGCCCACTGATGAGATGGCTGGCAAGAACAAGAGATGGCCTGCTGCAAATCCTTTCTTCCAATCTTTATAAATCGGGGGAAATTAGGAGAGTCTGTTCTCTTACTGTTCTTTAGGGACGTTTCCTGGTTTCCTGTTTTCAGCTGTCCTTTAGTTTAACGGAGGAGCTATTCAAATATGAGGTGACCTAACTTCTTTGAATGTTGTTTGTCCATTTTTAATCCCTCATCTTTTTCGGGAAAAGTTTAGAGTAAATGGTGGCCATAGAAAAACACACGATGGGCTCCATATATAAATTCGCGCCGACGGAACAAATGTGTTTCTGAGAAACAGCAAAGGCAACAGTGTGGCAGATACATGTAACTCGCCACTTTGTCCGGTGCATCTCTGTCAGGCATAATGCCATGGATCAGAATGTATATATGTTTTAAAGTAGAAGAAATCCTCCAGTCATCCAAGCTAGCAGCCCGGCAGTCGTCCTTGATCCCTTCATTTTTCTCACACTCACTCCCGCTGTCCACCCAAATGATCATTGAAGTCTGTGTGTTCACGCTATAAATATTTTTCGAATCCATTCCCTTCTCTCCTTTGCTACTGCTACCCTCCCTCTCTGTTTCTCCGTACATCCCCACTGGATTATTTATAAAGGTCTCCGGCTTCTGTTCTCAGCCTTCCAGCTCTTTGCTCTGACACCACAGTGTTTTTCCTAAAATGCACATCTTATCATATCCCCTTGCCTCTCATCTTTCCATGACTCTCTACCATCTACTCATCTGTTCACTCATCCATCCATCTGCAAACATGTGAGTGTTCACGTGTGCTAACTCCCAAATTCATAAGGCGAAGGCCTCCATTCTCAAGAAGGGAAAGGACTCCAGCAGGGGATGCGTGCAAGCCTGTGAACAGGATTGAAACGCTGCTGATATAGAGGTGAGTACAGAGTCATGTGGGAAAAGAGAAGGAAGTGGAGGTGAGAGCACAAAGGTCGGCACAGGCTTTCGAGAGGAAGAGAGGTATGAGCTGAGCTTTGACAAATGACTAAATTTTCAAGTGTAAAAGCAAGGAGGGGATGAGCAGTCTTGATGGAGAAAATAGCTTAGGTAAAGACGTGGCACTGGAATCAACATGGTAATTCTGGGTACTGGTGAGTATCTGCAGGATGAGCACGACCTCAGGAAAAGAGGGTAGAGCAAAAGGCACATGTGCCTGACCTTGGGTGGCTTCAGACGCCGGCCATAGAATCTAGTCTTTATCCTGTAGCTGGTACTGGTCAGTGAATGGTGATAATCAAGAGGGATGATGTCATCAGACACGTATTTTGGGAAGATGTGTCTTTCCTTAGTTCGCTAAATGGATTGAAGGGTGCCAGGTGGGACCGGTGTGGCCTGTGAGGAGATGACAGCAACTGTCCAAATTTTCCACTCATTCTCGTATTCTTTTATCCATAAATTCGTGCCACGATGTCTGTCGACTGTCTCCTTTGTGCCATGGACTGTTCTGGAAAGGTGAGAGACGATTGCCTGAGGAGCTCAGGCAGTAACCGTAGGGACGAGATGGAGGGATTTAATTAGGGAGCAGTTACGTAGGTACCATGCAGATTGTTTTCACCAGTCCCATGTGCGGTGTGAGAGAGATGACCCTGAGCTGGGTGATTTGGGGAATGGAAGTACCATTCACTAACATATGGGACAAAGGGCAAGGGGCATGCTTTCAGGGAATATAATGTTCCGACTTGCATTTGTTGAGTTTGAAACGTTTGTCAGATGTTTAGGGAGAGATCGTAAGTGGTAAACACACAATAGTGAACCAGGTACGCACGGTCTCTCTCCATCGGGTCTTGGATCGGCAGCCAGAACCATTTCTGTCGCAAAGAGAACAAAAATAAATAAAATATATTTCAAAGAACGACTGCCTTTACAGATCTAGAGCAAAATCTAGATGTCTCGATTAGATATTCAGATTTGGAAGCTGCCAGCAGGTTTGTGCTGGTGAAAGCAATGAGTGGGACAAGTGAGTTAGCCCAGAGGTGCAGGGTGGGGTGAGAACGTGGCGGAGGACAGAGTGGGGATGCAGCTCTGTAAGAGATCAGAGAAGGATCTGGGAAACCTCGACAGTGACCACAAGGCCACAGGGAAAAGCCAGGAGGCCTTCTCTTTATAAAACCGAAGG